GGGGGAGGTTGTGGGAGGGGACAGAGAGAGATAGAGAGAGAGAGAGAAAGAGAGAGAGAGACAGAGAGAGAGTGAAAGAGAGAGAGAGAGGGGATGCGGCGGGAAGAAAAAAAAAGAGAGAGAGAGAGGTGGCGAGAAAAGAGAGAGAGGGAGAAAGAGAGAGAGGTGGCGAGAGAGAGAGAGAGAGAGAGAGAGAGAGAGAGAGAGAGAGAGAGAGAGAGAGAGAGAGAGAAAGAGAGACGAGAAAAAAAAATGGACGTTTGAAAAGGGCGACCACACGTTGTTGAAAAAAATCAAAGTAATTAGGAAAAAAAAATTAGAGTACAATTATAGATACAAATTATCTATAAATCCACCATGATTTAAAATTTTATTTTTTGTATGTAAACGAATACAGTATGCATACCCTTACATACCAAATCAATGATTTGGGTTAGATTAACCTTCATTCGATGTATGGATAACTACCTGCTTAAGTGCCTCCGTTCTTAATGACTCTGCCAATTTCCCCTCTTGAATCTGCTCAACCACCGATCTTGCATCGATTCCACAAATGTTCAAAGTAAGAAGAGTGGCAAGTGCCTGCTCCACGTGTCTTGCATTCACAGTTTCCGGAGTGATTGAAAGTACCTGCAGAAGTTCACATGATAAAAATAACTTTAATTTACAATAAAAAAATAAAATTACGTTTGAAAAGTTTAATTTTTAAAGTTGCATTGATGCTTTTATTTTTAAATAAAAAATATTTACTGCATTAAATAATATGTTTTGTCAAAATGGATAAGAAAACCGTACCCGAATTATAAACAATTGCAATTTGGAACTAATTATCTTATAAAATATTTAACTACAAAAAATATGGTTTTTTTTAATGCATTGAATGTGAATCATGTATTTGCTTTCTATTACAGATAAAAATCCGACCTTTTATTTGATTTCCTATCAAAAGGATTGTTCCTAAGAAATAGGTTTAGGCAAGTCAATCTCAATAAGATGAGGTCAAAAGTAAAACACTTGGCATGAAACACTTTTGTACAAATGAGTGAAATTAGAAATCACCTTTGAGTTTGGTGATTTCATATTTATGAGAGTTAAAAAAAACTAAACCACAATGAAATTTTATTTGTTATGATTATATATTTTTATCTATTTTTTAATTTTAATATCTTATAAAAATTATGCATAATGTTTTTTTTCCCCCATCATCTTTTACTTTTTTTCAATTCACCTTCGATACCTACCAACGACTACTCCTGAGGCGTAAACAAGGAATCTTTGTGAACATTGATTTGTTGTTAGGTTTCATCCATCATAAGGCATGCAGATTATTTAAAATTTTTATGCACAATTTAATAAAAATTATAGAGTCGTTCATAACAAAAAAATCTTTCATTTTGTTGATTAGTTTTTATATTCTTGTATTTTGTAAACTTATTTTTCTCCTTATTTGAATTGAAGTTGTTGAAAACTATCAGAAAACCAAATCTCATCATACCACTCAAGTAACAAAAAGTAGATAGAATGAGCTAACTGGTAGCCCAATAATGTATTATATGGAGCTCTTTTCGATAACGAATGCAGCAAATATATTTATCATATAATAGTTTGATGAGTATCTTTGATTGTTAAATTATTGTTTGAAAATTTGAAAACAAAAATATGTATTCAAATTTAAAATTTTCATTATTATTTTATACAACTATTACACAATATAAAGATAACCCAAACGTTGAAGTTTTAACCTAGGTTACCAGAGTGGCGCGGGTCATATCTACCCGGCCGGTCTAAAAAAAATAAAAATATAAAAAATAAAATTTAATTAATTATTTTTTTTCAATTTGGTAAAATAATTCGCTGTGACCTTGAGGCAAACGTTGTTCATTTTAGTTTTCTGTATAACATAGTTTTTTTTGGATTTGTTTGATTTGTGTTTTCTTTTGGGGGGGGGGTAAGAAACCTTCCTTTGTCCTTACACGGCCGGGTCACCCAATAAAATAGGGTGTTGGGCCGCCTCGGAAAATAAGGTGACCTGGGAGGCCCGACTGGTTGCCTAGGTTTTAACACATTTTCAGTACGTTGAAAGATGTGTTGAACATAAATAACTTTTGAAAACTTTATGAGTTATGAGTCCAACAACTTTTAGCCGAATGAAATCACAAAAGACTAAAAGAGATAATTTGCAAACTACCCTTACATTCTAAGTCCAGTATATCAGTTTTGTGACAGGGTTACAAGCTGGGTCGTCCGGGTCATCTTGTTGATCAGCCAACCCGAGCACACAAGGACGAGGAAACGGTTTCGCAAAAAAAAGTCTAAAAAAATCTGAAAAACACAGTGTGAAAATATGAACTTCAATTTTTTCATTTTTGTGTTTTGGCTCGGACAAGCAAGTTACACCAAGCCACTTAGGTAACCTAGTTTACGACAAAATACGATTTTTTTAAGCTTAAAAATTATTATAACCATATTTTAATTTTCAAATTTCAAACTGATTTAAAAACTTAAGGATAATTATTAAAAAAATCAAATAAGAAAATAAGATTCATTGGGCAAACACTACATAAGGTAGAGTAACTCTGTTAGGCGAATAACCCGTGACTCCCCCAACTACTCAACCACTTAAAAACCACGTTTTTCACTATAATTCAATCATCTTACGAACTTTCAAGCCAACATCCATCAACATGCAAAATCATCGAATATATGATTGATAAATAAATCTTGAAATTGATATCTACACACACAGTTGCGAAAATCGATAAACAATTAACTGAAAAGTTAGCGAGACCGATAAAAAGATAGAAATATAAGTAGTTAGATAAATACAAATATAAATAGATATAAATGTGCGTGTGTGTGTGCGTGTGTGTGTATGTGTGTGTGTGTGTGTGTGTATGTGTGTGTGTGTATGTGAAAGAGAGAAAGAGAGAGAGAGAAAGAGAGGGAGAGAGAGAGACACAGAGAGAGAGAAAGAAGGAGAGAGACAAAAAAAAAACGTGAGAGAAACAAGAAGGGGGATAAAGGTAAGATGAACGAATGTCTTCTCTTTTTTTTTATCGTTCTACAGCTCCCCTTCCTTTTCCTGTCTCTATCTTTCTCTATTTCTTTCTTTATAGAGAGAAAGGTGCGGTGGATAAATGCACCTTGTCTTTTTCTTCTGTC